TATAATATATATTATATATATATATATATATATATATATATATATATATATATATATGTATATGTTTTATTTCACGCATACATATTGATAGCTCATATACCGATCTGTAAAGTATCTGTAAAGTTATCCCAAGTTTCTTTTAAAGAACTTTACAGATCGGTAATACATCACTCGAGCAAAGAACAGATTTCTGAAGATTGTACTTTAAAGATCGGTACAATATCAAACGAAGCAGAGTCACGATCTTCGGATCGTTTCACCAGATTGTGCTAGCAGTCCGATGAGTCTGTTGAAGATATATCGTCGCCTGTTTTATCGACACGAAGTTAGCGTGAATCGAACCTATGAAAGGCCCCATGGGCCTGTTTTTCAGTCTGTCTTGTTCACATCGAAACCGGTTTTCTACAGAGAGATTTGAATTTCGCTGCAAAGAACGAATCCTCTTCCTGTCGGTCGCCTTTCTCCTCTAGTCAAGAAGCTATGTCTTAAATCAGTTCATCAGAAATATTCAACATTATCTCAATTCATCACTTTATAATATTTAGTTATAACAGTTATAATATTTTCATATTCTTTCTCTTTATGTAATGGAATCTATATATTTTAATTATTATAACACATTGGGATAAACTTTCAAATTTTGTATATTGTGAAATAGATTTTGTACCTACGATTTATTTATATTTAAAATATTCAAATTGTCGAGGACAAAATATATGATGAAATATATAAAGTTTCAACTTTTAATCTTGTTAAATACATTTTATTATCGAAATTCTATTTGAACAATTTATATCTTTTCTGACAAGAGATAACAAGAAATTTAATCTAAGTCTATAAAAATTTAGAGATATAATTACAAATTTAATTTTAAAAAAATTTTTAATAATAGAATAATTTAGAAAATTTTAAATTTATCATTTAAACTATAAAGCATTAGATGTAATTATTTGATATTATCTTATATATTAATGTTATACAACAAGTACAATATTAAAAATAATTAAAAATTAAAAAATAAATTGCTAATTTTAATGAACAAGATTTGTTTATATTAAATCAGCAATATTTGCCGATTCTCTTATCGTTTTTATAATAAGCAAGTTAAACGAAGTTAACTTCTCACACGTTCATCGATAGCGAGTGTAATTGGTGGTAGTGATTCACTCATAGTGGTCGTCGGCCCTGTCAGAGCCTTCCTCCCTCCGTGATGCCACTTGCAAA